ACACACACACACACACACACACACACACACAAAATCAGTCCGTGTTTCTTTGAACGTTGACACAAAATTGCCTTGAATGTTCAGAAAATCAAGTGTGTTTGTCCAAGGCTGTCAACGTTGTTTTGACACAATCCCATCATGTACTTTGCGTCAGCTCCGTTCTTTTAAGAAGACATTTGTTCATATGTTTTGTCTCAGAGTCTTCAATGTCTTTTCCCAAAAAGTTCAGGTCAGACGTGGACTTTTGGGAGACCAAATTGCGCTTGTTTTTCCCATATTCCACACGCGCTTTATAGACCCAATTGCCTTTGAGCTTTGCAAAAAACGTGGACGTTTATCGACGAGTCCACGTTGTTTGATGTTTACAAACGCGTCGATTCGTTTCCAAAAAGTGAAAGAAAGGTCTTCAATCTTTACAAAATGGAGTATGAACGCGACGCAAGTTCCGGGCTGAATGGGCTCTGACATTGACAAAGTCTCGTTTGACTATGACTCCCAATTTTGTCTTTGATGTGAACATAAAAAAAAAAAAAACAAAACTCCACATGCTGATTTGAATGCTTCTAAACCACCCACGTTAGTCGAGGAAGACGACATTGTGTTCGATGTTGACGAAAACATCGACATTGGTTTGTCTTTTTTAATTTTATCTTTGATGTGGCATATCTCGGGCTAGTCGGACAAAATGGACTTTGACCTTGACAAAAACGTCTTTGTTCTTGATGTATTGTTTGTTGACGGCTTCAAAGCGCTCTCGGTGTTGACGGAACGTGAGCTTTGTTTTTTGAGACCTAAAAAAGCTGCACGCGGCTTTCGTTGAAGACTCGTTCCGCTTTGACGTCGACCAAAACCAAACGTCGGGCACGATCGTTAAAGACTCAAACTCATCTACGATGTGTCCAAAATCAGGTCTGTTGGGCGCGTCGAAGCCTCGGAATGATTGCCGATCTCGGTCTGATTATCGGATTTGTGAGTGTCGAGGAAGAGGCGATTTGTGGCGCCTTTGAGGAAGCGCGAGACGTCCTCCAACTGGGGGATGTTGTCTTCCTTGTAGTTGCAGTGTTGGGCCAGCAGGGGGAGGTTGTCCAGGAACTCCTTGCAGGCGTGGCCGGGGTAGAGTTGGTGGAGCTCGCGGAAGACCCGAGACCAGGTCTGCACCTCCTCCGGGGTGTAGTCCACGCGGGGGATCTGCTCACCGCTGCCAAATGATTAGGAACGCGGGTGACGACGGCTATGACAACGACGGCAACGGCGAATCAAAAAGGCTCCAACTTACTGTTTGTAGCTCCGAGCCAAATCGGCAAAGTAGCTCCTTCTTTTGCGGTAAATGCTGTCTTTAAATCCCTACAAAGACACCTCATTCGTTTTGTTAGAGTTTTTTTTGGGGGGGCCGTTCAGACCACACGTCGCTTTTGTTTTTTTGAGCCAAAACAAACCGGGTGGTCGGCGTCCAAGTCGGAGCCGTACATCAGAACCTGCTTGCAAAGGTCCAGATCGGAAATCTTCTTGGGGAACCACGGAATGGCACGCTGGTCTGAAATGAACATTTCCAAAACACGCGCTCAATTTGTCCGAAACTCATTTGCCTTTGGCGTTGACAAAAGACGCACACAAGGCCTTCGTCAAAGATTCCAAATGGCCGCGGATGTTTCCAAAGACTCCCAGATGAAGTTTTTCACACTCCAAATTGCCTTTGCCGTTTCGCCGCGATGACTGTCTTTGACGTTTTCCGGCAATGGCTTGAAGAAGGAGTCCGAAGAGCGCTCTTTTGCCAACGAGGGAACGGCCCGCTCTTCGCAAAGCAACTAAGCGTCTTAGTTTCAGCTCGCTCACGACAGACGGCCAAAGACACGTCGACTGAAAAGGGGGATCAATGGTCTTCTTCCTTTGATGGCACACACGGTGAGCAAATGAGAATTTTCTACCTTTGTCGTTGTTGTTCTGGAATTCTTTCATTTTTCTCGCCACTCGTTTTGCGCGTTCGGTCAATAGCCACCAAAAATCCGAGCGATGCCGAAACGTATTGCGCAACTCAAGGCCAGACCAAGCCTCCCCGCTCATTTCGGCAACGCTTGGCCCTCATTGGCGCGGCGCCTTCTGTCATTATTTGGCCCCGAGGGACAAACGTTTGTCAGCTCGTTCAAAAGCAGGAAAGTGGGGCCAAAGCGTCCCCGTTCCTCTCGCTGCTATTGCGAATTTGGACGGCCTACGGGCCACCGTCGTGTTTTGCGGAGGAGATGGGGAGGCCCGCGCTGCGGATCAATGAAGCTCGCGTCGCGGGATGCGCCTCGCTGTCCGCTTAACTCCTTTTCGGCAACTCGCGCGATGGGTCGGCTTCGGGTGCGCGAAAACCGAGCCACGTTGAATGCCAGCCGAGACACGAAAAGGTCGCGGGAAAGCTCATCGTGCGAAAACGGAGAGGCATTTGAAAAGCTGAATTTGAATCCACTGAAGTTCAGCCTGCCCATGTCGGCGGGTTTTCGGGGCCTTACCGTCGGGAGTCTGGCCTTCATCCTCGCCGTGGGCGCGGCTCTGGGACACGACCTCCACGGCGGTGGCGTGCTGGGCCAGAAGCCGCGTCAACTCTCTGAGCTGATGGTGATCGCTGTCGCAGTGCACCAAGATCTCAAAATCGGAATTCCTGCGCTTGGACTTGCGCGACTCGATGTGAACCAGGTTGAGGTGTTTTTCCTGCGGGCCGACGCAAACCTGCTCCAGCTGAAGATCGCGGCCGCTTCGGATAAGGCGGGCGGGCTTTACCTGGAAAGTGCCGAGAGCTTTGACCAGACCGCCCACTTCGTTCTTGAGGGAGAAGAGGATGGTGGCGCCGACTGGCGTCCCGCCGCAGACGCTCCCCGAAGCCGCGGCCATCTGCGGCCGAGCGCGTTGTGAGAAGAAGATGGCAAAAAGTGGCCACCCGTCCTCCCCTTTGCCCATCTCGAGTCGTTCTTTGTCACCGAAGGCGGCAAGAACCAAAACCGGGGTGCAGCCAGACATTTTTCAACATGGAGCGGAGCGGTGTGGCCAGAACGTCTACGTTTGTGTGCTCGTAACGCCCACTGGACCAAATTTGCCTTGACGTTGGGTGCCCAAGGCCACCGCTGGCCACCACGTGGCTCCGCCCCTGGACCCAAATGCTTTGGCACTCAAAAGGCTTTGAAAGGCACCTGACGAATACGTGCGGCTGTTTCGTTTTCATCGTGGTCAGAACAACTTCAACTTGAAAGGCCACTTTATTAGGGACACGCTGTCGTGAAACTTAAGCCTGTTCATTCAAAGATCGGAATGCTCCTTCCGACCGACTGCTGTCAGGCTGCTGAATAAAATAAAATAAAAATAAAAAAGGACGTGGAAAAAAATTGTAAATAGCACGGCCACCTTATCGATATCTATATTTATTTTGCACTTCATTGAACCGTGTACATTTGGGAAGGCAAACACTTTGTTTCCTTCTTTCTTCTTCAATCCCCGATTTTGCTGCTGTAGACTGTAAATTTCCCCAGTGCGGGACAAATAAAAGGATATCTTCATTACAATAATACATTTTATTTTTTAGTGCCATTCAAAACGCTCAAGGACACATTATTTTTTTAATAACTGCAATAGTTCGGCTACTTTTCTCTTTTAACATGAACAAAAATATCATGGATAGCATTGTGATCATTGATGATGAAATGTTATCGTGACTCACGTAACTGTGAAATATTTGAAAAAAACTGGAAAATGAGTTTTCAGTCAACTTTTTTAACCCACTGGTCAGTTTGATCCAATAAAGCAAGAAAGCCCAACCAACCCCAAAAGTCAAGATTGCTACTTACTGTCTCGTGGTTGTCAGTGAGCTGTTGGTCCCTCTCAAAAGATTTCGAAGATCCACTCGCTTCGCTTACTTGCGTCAACTGAGTCACTCAGGAACGACTGGCAACACTTCTGAGAAATGAAGCTCTTGTCTTCAGCCTTGCGCATGTGTGTGTGTGTGTGTATATACGTCATTCTGACTCAAGGTGTGGCCTCCTTGATGTTCCTCAAATCTGAGGAGAAGTCCAACCCGCCCATTCCCGTTCACCTCTTGACAGCAGCATCTTCTTTTCGTAGGAAATATGATGAATGCTCGTTCCTGCCCATTGTCATTGGTCAAGTTTGATCACAATTCTGAGCGGACCCCAGGGAGAAGAGTCTCCTCACTGCTTGAGACTCGTCTTTTTCTTTTCGCCAATCAGTTGCCTCCATCTAAGCCCGTTTTGGGCGTCCTCTTCTCTCACGCCAGCCACCTTCATGTCCTCTCACTCCATCCGCTGACCTCCGCTTCGGTCTTCCTCTCGGCCACCCGCCTGGCAGTTCAAGACTCGGCATCCTTCTCCCAAATATATTCACCCTCTCTCATCTGGACGTGTCCAAACCACCTCAGTGCAGCCTCCCTGACTTTCTCTCCAAAACCTCCGACATGAGCGGTCCCTCTGATGTACCCCTTCCTGATCCCATCCAACCCGGTCACTCCCAAAGAGAAGCTCAACAACCTTCATCTCCGCCACCTCCGGCTCTGCCTCCCGTCTATTCTTCGGGGCCGCTGTCTCCGGTCCAAACAGCGGATGTTCTGTATCACTTCATCAAAGTCCAACTCAAATTTCTTCTTCTCCTCCAACTCACATCCTACCTGTGAAGCAAAGCCACGAACAACATCGAACATCACACCTTCAATTTCGAGCTTCAGACTCATCGCTCTATGTGACACTCTCATGACCTCTCGGACATTCCTAACAAACTCGTCCTTCGCGATAACGCCGACTCCATTTCTCTTCCTCGTATCTACACCACGATACAACAACTTCAACCCCGATTGGAAGCTTCTCGCCTTTTTTTTTTTTTTTTTTTACACATGTGTCTATGAAAATACCAACACTCAGTCGAACCAACTCTCCTCCACGCAGATTGTACCTTTGCGCTACACTTGCACCGGGCACCAAACCCAAGCCAACTGTATCCATCATTCATCCATCCGAATTGCTGTCTTTCTATCCATCCATCTGTCCGATGAAACCCAGTCAACACAAAGTGTAGGGTCACTATTTGGCAAGACCAAACGACTGTAAAATGTGTTTAAAAATGCCCATTTTTGGGGGGCGGCACAGACAGTCAGAACTTGCAGTTCTTTCTCACTCCGTGAGAAACTGATGAGGCTTTGAATCGTTGATGGGCCATTCATCAAGCTTGACTTGGGAGTGCCTTCGTTGCGATGGCTGCTTCCTTCTGGCTCTGCTGCATTGGAACCAAGATTAGATTGCGTTCCGCAATCAGACGATGATTTGTTTTGATGGCACAATTGCGTTAGTGCTACGAGTAAAGCTGCTGTGCGCCCTCGCAAGCTGAAAAAGGTGAGTCACGCTTGCTTGCCGGGGGCCACTTTTGCGCCAACGACCGAAAACCAGAAAAGGAGCACATTCACGCAGGAGCTGCTCCAAGTCGGAAAACTACTGCACAGACTGTAAACTAAAAAAAAAAGCAAGTTTGACGCTGTCACATTGCGGACCCCAAAAAGCAGGCAGGCAGGAAGGAGGAGCAAGATGAACTTGACAAATTGGATGAAGAAACTAAAGCCAAAACAAACAAAGACTTAAAAACAAAAAGAGTCCAAAGTAACAATCAAAAAAAATCGCCGAAGCAGAAAACTAACAGAAACGGCAACAAAACCAATGACAGAAACAAACAATGACCCGACACCGAGCGGTCGTGTCGTGTAGTGTCGGGCCGGGAGTCCTTTTACGCCACTAATGACACAATGATCAACAGGTGTGCAGCTGCAGGCGGAGCCCTACAGTGCCACCTGTTGGTCACAAATGCAACCATGACAGACGCCAGCCGCTTTTCACGTGAGCCAAAGTCTTGGAGGAGGCATTATGACATCGACATGGCAGAAGCCTTCCTTGCAATCAGTGCATCGCGCGTCCGAGGCCTTGACTTGGCCAGACTGTGGCTTTTCTTCCTTTTAAAGTGCTTTCTCTCGGCCGTCCCTGTTTGTTTTCGGGGGGGGGTTCCTCCTCTTCAGGAGGTGAAATGCGGGCTCGATTGGGTTCGGGTCCGGCGATTGGCTCGGCCCCTCAAAGACAAAGTCCCTGGTTGCAATGGCTCACTGTCTTATTGCTACGATTAGTTTGGGTGCTTATTTTGGGCGGGACTTCAGAAATCATTCTCCCGCCATCATCGTCGGCGTTAGAAACTAGCGAGCCCGTTCCTGAAGCAGCCACGAAAGCCCAAGCCATAGCGCGGCCTCCAGCGAGCTTTCACGCATGCGCTTGTCTTCCGTGTTTTGGATGAACGGGAGTCGGCCGTCCAAGAAATCCGAGTGCCGATGTTGTTCTCCCCCGCGTCGACTCGCCTGGAGTCCAGAGACAGGAAGTCGCTCTCCTTGCCATCCGTCTCGCTGCTTAACGATGACATCTGACGCTAAGTGCGGCCACGTGTCTGCAATCTGAAGATGAGATCCACCGCTCCGTCTGCTTCTCCTTCATGCGATTACGCATGCGCTAATTGAGGCGCACGCGCCGGGTTGATTGCGTTTGCGTCGTACAGGGGGCACGTGGCGGGCGACGAGCCGAGAGCGCCTCGGCATGCGTCGGACCCGCGTAAGGGCTTTGACCGGATACGAGCCCTCGTTTGGATGATTTGTTTGCTTTGGCATGCGACGTGTTGCGCATCTGCAACAACTACAAAGCCTCTGCTAGCTTCATGCTAACACAACATGAGAAACGCCATGGGTAAGCTGACAAATGTCATTGGTGTCGCGGCTATAACCCTTTAAGCCATGAAGAGTGCGTGAAGTAACACATGTAGACAGACAAAACTCGCCATCTTAAATTCTTTATCCTCTGAGAGGAATGAAGTCTATGTGCGGCTTCCTCGGGATTGGCATCTTGCCGTCTACCTGTAGCTCTGTATTACAGTGCCCTCAGATGGCCAAGGGACACACTGCACACTATTATGGCCACTGAATTGGGAGCCAAAATGTGGCAAAAACTGTTCAACGCTTCGATGATATTAGCTGATTGCGATATGATTTCATCAGCTTTAAAGAATGCTTTTTTTTCTGATTTAAAAAAAAAGCAAAGCCTGACACTTTTGCGGTTGGGATGGGCTGAAACAACATGAAAGGGATTTCTCATCATTTCTATGTTTTGTTGTTCTACTTCTTCCTTTCATAACTTTGCTGCTGTGTATTGGGAATTTCTCCATTGCGAGACTAATAAAGGTTTTCTTATCTTATCTTATCTTATTTCAAAGGGAACGGTGGTTTGCGATACGAGCGTTTTGCGTGACTACCTTGCTCACGGAATGATTGAGACTCGTATCTGGAGACACCGCTCGATAGGGAACCTTTCAGGAAAACCCTTTTGGACACTGTCCCCTTTCAATTTCTCTGTTTTTGTCAATTAGGCACATCGATCCACATACATCATCAATGAAGTGATCAACAGGTTTTCCACACGCCGACTTTCCATACAGGGTGTATTGTAGGTTATCAGTATGTTATGATACATCACGATCAATATTCATCTTGGCACCACATCACTGTAGTAGCATGGGACTCATCAGAACTGTTGAGATGTGCGCTTTGTTCGGGGTATATTTGGGAAAATAATGACGAGAGATGAATTTTCTTCACTTAACTCAAACACGTGGCATGTTTATTTGCCGACTGCACAGAGAGCAGCCGCTTCTCATCACCACTAAACAGGAAGAAGACATTTCACACCGAATACAGACCGGATATGGCGTAGAAATTTGGGTTGCCAGATCCGTTCTAAATAAACAAGTAATATGTCCCAATGACACATTTCAATCGTAAAGAACACATCACAGCATTACAAAAATGAGGATACAAGATATCGTTTCTTAACAAGAACCCTTCGACTTAAGCCTTCAAACGTCAAATATTTTTACGACAATTCGACACGGAAGTTTCAAAGAATAACAATAATACAATACAAAAGCACAGAAAAAAACTATACGTCATTAAAAAGAGATGTCATTTAAACGTAGCATGCAATTTGGAATAGGTGGTTTTTAAAACGGGATTAGAATGTAGGAAGATACTCAGTGGGAGGAAGTGAGTCCAGAGTTTGGTGGGAGCAGCAGTGGCGGTTCTGGGGGGGGGCCAACGGGGGCCAGTGCCCCTGTAGCACTGACTCTGGCCCCCCCTGTGGCCCATCCACATACATTATCAATGAAGTGATCAACAGGTTTTCCACACACCGACTTTCCATACCGGGTGTATTGTAGGTTATCAGTATGTTATGATACATCACGATCAATATTCATCTTGGCACCACATCACTGTAGTAGCATGGGACTCATCAGAACCCTTTGACTTAAGCCTTCTAACGTCAAATAGTTTTACGACAATTCGACACGGAAGTTTCGAATAATAATAATAATAATAATACAATACAAAACCACAGAAAAAAACTATACGTCATAAAAAAAAAAGAGATGCCATTTAAACGGAGCATGCAATCTGGAATAGGTGTTTTTAAAACGGGATTAGAATGTAGGAAGACAATCAGTGGGAGGAAGTGAATCCAGAGTTTGGTAGGAGCAGAGCGGCTGAAAACTCTCTGCTGTCCGCGGTCTGCCACTTTTAAATCGCGAGGAGACGTCGCTTGTCCAAGCGGACTTGCCGTACTTCCTGGGCGAAACCTGCACTTCCGCGTCGCTCCACCGCGGACGCGAAACGAAACGAGTCTTTCCAAAAGAGTCGCGAACGGACCTGAGCGGGAAGCGGCAACGCGGGACGTCCGCCGCCGTCCTCCA